TTGTTTTCATAAAAATCTCAACTCCAGTCCTTCAACAATGTTTAAGTGAATTTATCTGATAGTAGGGCACCCTGGCCCGCACCTGGTATAAGTATGATAAACGAGGACATAATTTGATTGCTGGTGAGCATAATGACATCTGACCTATTTCCAAAACAATTGCTATCAGCACAGAAAGTTTTTATTGAAAGGAACAGTAAACTACGAATGAACGGACAGGTTTTACTGGGCTGAAATTCCGGCCGACAAATTATAAAGGCAGGAGAGTAATCAGCAGTTACTTGGGTAGACATGGCTCATATCCCTCGTACTGTCGTAGAAATACTAGAGAAAGTATCGAGGCAACCTGGAACCCTACAAGACTATGAAAAACTGTACATCCTTTTAAAAAATTTGCCCAGTGCTGAACTTGAAGCTGCTGTTTCAGCATATAATTTGTTGGATATTTTCGTATATATGGATCTTGATAATAAGTATAGTTGCCTCAAGTAAATTACTTTTGTAGTGAACTATCGGAGTTGGCTTTGAATATCGCAACAATCATTTTCTCAACTTTTAATCTGTCAGAATTCGTCCGCTCTCACGAGACCGAGCTACACTTAGCGATTTCATCAAGAAACGATGCCTTGAGGGATTTTATCATTCTAAGGGTACGATGATCCTTGATTATAAATACCTTAGTTAGCCGAAAGTCTAGAAGGCGCCCCACACTCCGTCGCAGATGTCCCCGACAGGATATTAGTGGAAATAGTAAAAGTAGCCTCAAACCATGATATCAAAAAAGCCGCGGTCGCAGTGAAGTTCTTAAGGATTTTCGGTACTCTGTTCCCTTACTTTTAATTTTTGCAGCTTTATCCAGTTCGGATGGCTTGAGAAAACTTCTTGCGATGGACTCCTTTCGTGAATGCCTTGCAGATTCTGCTGACGTTAGCTTAATTATCCGTTTCTCTGAGGTAAGTTTTGCTATTTTTTAATCTCCATAGCTCCTAGTGGATATTGCCTCTTCGGACCCGACCAGGTTAAGTTTAATGGAAGAATCGAGATGCTTCGAACCGCTCTTATCCATCTTCAGAAAGGACGACCCATTACTTCAGCTAAATTGCATCGCCGTTCTAAAAACCTTGGCTTCTTTTCCGGAAGGAAGGGCCTTCCTACATTCGAAAGGGATAGTAGACGACATACTTTCCAGTCTTTCGTCTCTGGAATCAAATCCCTTCGCCAATCTTGTTTTGCCAGGTAATTTTAGCATTAAGTATATTGTGTCTGACCGAATTAGTCTTCTATGTTTTTGTTATACCAAGTTTCCGTCATATAACTGACATTTAAAAAATTGCATCAGTACTGGAAATGATTCGTATGAATAATATTACAAAGAACTGCGTTTGTGGGCATCAAATTCGCCTTATAGTTTGGTTTTGCAGCGCCAGCAATTAATAGATCACACTTATTGACACTTTTTAAGTAGTTCATGCTCGTCAGTTTCCGATTTGGCCAGACAACTAAAATATGATTACAGATATCCTCCGAAGGAATTGGCTGGGAAGAAATTGACTATTCTGTTTGTGAAATTTTTTTAATACCTAAGGCTCCGGATTTGATCTTCATTTGTAAAACTTTGCCACTGAAGCTGTCGGGCGTGATGTACATTCTTGCACTTACCACAATTTAACTGACGGCCTAATTTGCAAGCTTATGGACCATTTTCCAGTGATCTTCCCTTACGCCGTCGTCTAGTGTTGTCTATTTAAAGCCCCATTCGCCCCATTCATTAGACCTAACATCACTACTAGGTTTGATGCAACTATGCGCCCATTTTTTAAGTTACTATTTTATTGGCAGTAAACTGGGGCAGGCATTTAAAAAGGTATTTTCATAGATGGGCCCTATTTTTGATAATTCCATGCATGAACTACTCATCTGAGATGGCTGTTTTGTGCTTTATCACTGGTAGCTCTCACAGTGTAATTCCACTCTTGACACACTGTCCGTGGACCGAAGTTGCTGTTATTTGACGCTATCCATTTCTATCGTCTCGATTTTCTCATAGGCACCGTCTAACGTCCAGACTTCACGACTTATAGCTGGTTTCCCTAGCAAAGGAGGGCTAGCAGTAACGCCCTTTTGAAGACTGTTGGCTGTTACGCCGGATCAACGTTCATTGGGAAATGACTTATCTGAGTGCTTTTACGTGCAAGCACCTGCAAGTGTTTGCGCAGTGGACAGTATTCACGAAATCCGAATGCCATTTTTATATTTAATCTTTTTAAGTTGCCGATTTTCTAGCTCGGCGCCCAGCCACATCTAGGTATATTACCTCCGCATTGTGTCAAACTGGACTTATTTCGGGGTCTCTGAAACAACTTCATACGTGGTGTCTGATAGCAAGTGATAAACCCACTCAGCAGGCCTTCCGGCCACGACATTTATCACGTCAGTTGTCTTATAGTGAGGTCAGGTTGTTCAATATTGACCAACCCCCCCCCTTGTTTCAGAGGCGAGAGTCAATATTGACTGAAGCTGAAATGGGACATATTAGCTAAGCTGGTATTTCACCATAGCCTTACACATACTGTACCCGTATTGGTTCCACTTCACGTCGCGGACAGTCCGACAAGGAATACAAGTTCCATTTTATGTTTGCTTCCTGTCGCATGAAAAAAAAAGCTATCACCGGACAACTCTTGATATTTTTTCGCTTGAAGATAGTAGGTTGATTAATTTTTAGATCGAGTTACACCACGTTTGTCCCAGAGATCGGCCTGGCACCCCCATATGCGGAAAATGGTGGGACATATTCTCGCCAGAGTATGAGGGCATTAAGCAGCGAATAGGTACTTGTCGCCCAGCAATGACAATGCTATTAGAGCACTTGGATTTCAGGTCTGGCTCACCAGACAGTTGTTTGAAGGCTTCTAGTTGACCTTCGATTGTCTTCGGATCGACGAGTCTCAAAGTGGATGGCTAACGTACGTAGAGTTTTATGTATACAGGGCACTATTCCCAACCTGGCTGGTTATGGGTG